TTGCATTCTTCCTTGAAGGCAAACCTGTTCCGCCCTATCCCTGGTCAAATGTGAGACAAATGTGCATTTTGCAAAATATTTACATAGGTAGGTATTTGCTTATTTATTTGAAGGGCAAAGCTACAGAAAGAACAGGGGCAACAGAAAGAGAGAGAGAATCTTCCGTCCACTGGCTCACTCCCCCCTAATGGCTGCAACATCCAGAGCTGGCCAGGCCAGAGTCAGGAGCCCCACACAGGTTTTGCGCATGGGAACAGGAACCCAAGAGTCCTCCTGGTGTATTCTTTCTCAGGCACATCAGCTGGATCGGAAGCAGAGCTGCTGTAAGTTGCCGTGAAGTTGGCTCATACAGGGTGCTGGCATCAGAGGTGGCAACCTAACCCTCTGCACCACAAGGTCAACCCTGCAGATATGCATTTTAATGTGTACCTGAACTTGTAAGTTCCCATTGGCTCCTTGCTGTGAGATGCCATTAATGGGGCCTGGGACTTTTCTCACAAGAGCTCACTGTCTCATTCTTCAAAATCTTACAGGAAAGCAGCATCTTCTGGGTTTTTGTTGCTGCCGTGGCCCCCTGGGGTGCTGGGATGTTGCTCCGTTTGTCCTGTGACAGGTCTCTCCTGGCGTGGAGGAGTTTCCTGGAGCACGTGGCTCAGGAGTGTGGTTCTCAGGATTCTGTTCCCTCTGTTCCCGAGACTGTCCCCAGACACAACTCTGCAGTGAGGAAAGTATTGCATGATTCAGCACAGTTGATCCTTCCACCCAAGAGCTGGAACCTCAGTGTTCCTGTTAGATCCATCTTCCTTGAGCATATTGCTCTGCTGAGTCGTGGATCCTGATCCCCTGCCTTCCAACATTCTGTCCTGCATCCCGGTCCTGTCCTTAAGTGTAATGCATTGATCCTCCCAGACCTGGCTTCATACGCCAGCTCCAGCACCTACATGATGTGGTTTCTGCGATCTCCAGATTCTAAACTCCCTTTAAAACATAGCAATTTCTCACAGACATAAATCAGTCTTTCCTTGTTTTAATATTTGATGTTTGAAAGATAGGAGCAGAGGGAGAAGAATCTTCCATCTCTCATCTCATTCCCTTGATGACGACAACGGTCATTTGGAAGCCAGGAGTTCTAGAACTCCAACCAGGTCTTCCACGTGGTTTCCAGGGGCCCAAGCACTTGGGCTTCCGTTGACTGCTTTCCCAGGCACACCAGCAGAGAGCTGTGTTGGAAGCGAGGCAGTCAGGACTCGGATAATCACTCACGCGGGATACTGGCATCATGTAGGATGCTGGCATTGCATGAGATGCTGGCATCACAGGTGGCAGATAAGCATGCATCACAAGCAGGCCCCACAAATCATTCTTTAGTTACCAAAGACAGGAATTTTCTGATCTCTCAAGGGTTTATTTCCTGAAGTTTCTAAGGTATGGTGGTCTTGTATTGTCCCTCCTAGGCATGTATCTTTAAGATTTAAAAAAAAAAAAAGTCTATAAATTCTTGTCTGTCTTGCCTAGTCCTGGAATTGACTGAAACTTTTCTTACAGGACTTTAGGTAGCCACAGAGTTCTCTGTTTCACAAGCCATGGGCCACCTCAGGACAGGCTAGCTGCCCTGTTCTTATGCCTCTAGCGTCTCATGCAGGTGCAAGGTTGTGGATAAACCATGTGGGAATAGGGAATGCAATTATTTAACTAAATGCCTCATGATTTTCAAATTATTTGATTTGTAGAAGAAAATATTTATTAAGAGTTATTCCTTCTTATTGGAAAGGCAGATTTACAGAGAGAAGGAGACACAGAAAGATCTTCTGTCCACTGGTTCGCACCCCAAATGGCTTGCTATGTTCAGAGCTGAGTTGATCTGAACGAAGGAGCCAGGAGCTTCTTTGGGTCTCCCAAGAGGGTGCAGGGTCCCAAGGCTTTAGACCATCCTCTACTGCTTTTCCAGGCCACAAGCAGGGAGCTGGATGGGAAGTGGAGCAGCTGGAATACGAACTAGTGAACACTTGGGATCTTGGTTTGTGCAAGGCAATGGTTTAGCCACTTAGCCCTCACACCAGGCCCATAAAATTAGTTTTGAGAGGCAAACAGAACAGGAAAGAGTGAGGACCATGATAAAGAAAGTGAGTGAGGAAGGGATGGATGAGGGGGTAAGGAAGAAAGTGATGAAGAGGAAGGAGGAAAGAAGAAAAGAGGGAGAGAGAGTGGGAGCATGCCAGGATTCAAATACAGACACTGCAAAATAGGCTGCAGGTGGAGTCTTACCTTCTAGGTCAAATCCTTGCCCATCCAATAATTTAGTATTCATCTTTTATATACATTATCTCCACTTAAAAAAAGAAAGAGTTTCATTACAAGATTATAAATATATATCTAATAATCTTCTTTGAGTAGTAAATAATAATTCTCCAAAGTTGGGATAAGTCACTTCAAGAAAAAAATCTTAAGAATTTAAGTCTTCATGTGGTTTTAACTCTGAGTTTTTCAAATGGAAACTACCTTTTTGATATTGCTTAAACATCTCAAAGTAAAAGGTTCAACACAGAAAATTGAAAAGCACTGATGTTATTATCATCTGACTGGAATATGCATCAGGAAGGAATTTCTATCTTCACGGTATTTCAATAAAATAATGAATGAATCCTGCATAATCCTTAAATCAGTGTCATCATTTGAAATCCAGGGCAGGGATTAATTCATGAGAAAAGCAGTTTATACAGTTTCTGTGAAAAGAAAATTGCATTATTAAAAAAGGAAAAAATCCCTCCACATTATATATCACTGGTGAATTATCATTCTGAAAGGAATAATTACTAAGGGGCTTAGAAGTTTGGGAGATGAAAATGAATTACTAAGCTATCCTTGAATTACATTAGCTTATAATATATGTTCGTATAAAGGATATACTTACTTTTGAGAGCTAGAAAGTGATGTTTTGTTCATCAGCTATTTCAAGATTTTCCTTTGAAAAGCAGATTTACACAGTGAAGGACACACACACACACACAGATCTTCCATCTGCTGGTTCATTCCCCAAATGGCTGCAACGGGTGGAGCTGAGCCATCTGAAGCCACAAGCCTGGGTCTCACAGGTGGCTGCAGGTGTCCAGCGACTCGGGCCATCCTCTGCTTTTTTCTCGGGCCTTTAAGCAGGGAGCTGGATGGGAAATGGAGCAGACAGGACAAGAACCAGCATCTGTACAGGATGTTGGCACTGCAATCAGGCCACGTTCAGCTATTTTCTTCCAACAGTTTTGATGGTGGGATTTTGGTATGAGAAGATACTGGAATTTTACGGATTTTTTTAATGCTGTTTGCTTGTTTTGCCAAACAGGTTTTCTATTCAACTGTACTCTAGTTCTGAACAGGGTCTTTTCAGGACAACAGGAAAAAAAAAAAACCAGAATAAAAGGCAAGGCAAACATAGTCAGACCAGCTCTCTGAATTACATCATTAAAGGTCAGCTGCTCTTGGGAATATCAAGTTAACAGTGTTCCTTGGGAAAAATGACTTAAAATGGGTTGAAGTCAACTATGTCCTTATTTTGTATATGTGATTCTCTCAAAAACAATGGCTCAAATATTATTTCTTTGCAGCTGCATATGTCAGATATGGTTCTCTAAGTACAATGCAGCTCCCTGCAAGTGTTCTGGCTTGGCAGCAGATGCACTGTTGAGTGGCAGGAGTTGTCCTGGGTGACCGCGGAGCTGCCCGGGAGCTGTGCTGGCATGTCAGCACGGGCAGGATCCACAGTCATGTTTATCTCTTCTGCGCCATCACAGAGCTGAAAAATCATGAGCCAAGCCACTATGTAGTGAGTGAAATATTTTGCAAAGCCACCTCACACCAAGAAGGTTGCTAATCTTAAAGGCACGAGTACGCTGTACTCAACTTTGGAAAGTCCAAAATAAGATCAAGGTATATTACACAATTATGACATTTTCAAGAGATACAAATACACCACAATGCTAAGGCAGCACTTCCTCAGAGTTAGAGAATTTACACCAACTGAAAAAAAAAATTGTTAGGCAAAATTCTGAGTATCACTTTTGGTTTCACAGAAGTCATGTAGAATTAAACTACAGTCAAGGACATGTCTATTGACATGTTGTGAAACTGTAGCCAGCAAAAGGATTAGGAAGGTCCAGCTTTGAAAACTGTAAAATTTAATTATTCTTTTGAGACACTGGATAAGGAATCTCATTTTCAACAAACACATTAATAGGGCGATGTGACTGTTGGAGATGGTGCCAGAATTCCTTCCAAGTCTTAGAATGTGAGTGGGGGTGTGGGTATGCGGACAGGGGGCAGAAGCCTTTCTGAATGTCACAGGTGTCGCAGGTGCGGCTGGGACAGGTGTCTCGCCTCCATGAGTCGCCAACACACAGTCTTACCAAAGCGCTGCATATTCAGAGCCCGACATGTCCACCTCTTCCTGCGGCAGGCGCGTCTTTAACACGCGGACGATGTACCAGTCCCCCAACCCCTCACTGTCCTCAATGAGTGAGGGCAGTCGGACCTCCCAGGACAGCAAGTGGTCACTGTCATGGTCATTGAAGTGATTTCAAGTCTGAATGTGGGTCTTGCCTAAATCGTGGCTGCCTTGCTGGCTTCCTGCTGGACAGGGCTCTCTGCCTGTGTCCCACACGGCTGAGGAAGACAGGAGCACAGAGCTGCTGAAGGATCTGGGTCCGAGACCAGAAACGGGCCTTGTGGCTCCTGAGCAAGCAAATCTCCCAGGACCGCTATTTTCTGATTCACTTTTCTGTTTATCACAAATTCCTGTCTCCTCAATATGAGGACTTTCCTGCTTTTAGGCCGTGTGCTCCAGATACTTAACAGAAAATGCTGCTAAATGTTCATTATCTCGAGAAGTTAAAGCCTACAAAAGCCCTCCCGGGTGTCCCACGAGAGCAAGGTCACGTGGCTCCCGTCTCTGCGCCAAGGGGCAGACTGGGGCAGGGGCAGGTACCAGAAAGAAGGCATGGCCGAGGCACTGGTAAAGTCAGTGAACAATACTTTACTGAAACATTTCATAGCACAGAAAATCTGTCTGAGGTGCAGTAGTCACCTTCTTACACACTCCAAGGACAGACACATTTTCCAGGACTAAGATGAACACAATAAATATGGAGTTTACACACCAATTTACACACGGAAACTCTGCCCCATGGCCATAAAAATCCGCACTTCACAGCGCAACATATAATTTAATCATTTGATTTGTTGGACTGGTTTTTCTTACTAAACACAAACCACCTGGCTTTCATAGACATATAGAATATATTTTTTATGTATATAGATATTCAACAAACTGTACAGTCTCTAAACATAAAACTCCTAAAAGGCACAATTGTCTATACAACATGTACAAAAACAGTTGGAGCTGACACAAAACAACAATTATTGGTCAAAAGTTCATGATTGCACAAAGATTAGTCATGAGTTTACATCAGAAAAAATGTGCTTTAAGGAAAGGAGGGTTTTCAAAGAAACCTCTAAGTGTTATTAGAAAAAAAGAAATGATACAAAAGAATCCACTAGGTCGCTATCACCAGCCGGTCCTCGTCGTCGTCGCTGCTCAGGTCGCTCAGCGGCACAGGGCGCTGCCTGCGGGGCGGCCCCGGGGCCCTGAGCGCCCGGACACAGGGCGGCTTGGGCACTGGCTCTGCAGAGGACAGGGACGCGGACGGGGACGCAGGCAGGGCCCGCCCGCACCGGGGCTCAGGCTCGGCCTTCACATGATTGGCGGAGGAGGCAGCCTTCCCTGCGTCTGTCGAGCTAGCCGGCCTCGCGAGGGCACCTGCGGGGCCGGGCGGATCCGGGATTTTGGTTGTCTGTCCCCGCTGGACTCTGGGGGACCCCTGAGGAGACTCGGTCCTGCTGGCCTGGTTTGTGTTGGCTACAGAAGTCTGCTTGGGCTGCATATCCCGCGTGTGGTTCTGGGAGGCCAGCCCCTCGGGAGCCCCCTGGGTGTCCACGGGGACCTGACTGGCCGAGGGGATTAGAGCGGGCAAGGCGATGTTGAGGATCTGGAGCCCGGGGAGTGGGGCAGGCGGGGCGGTGCTGCTCTGGGAGGAAGGCTTGGCGGTCAGGACCTGCAGGCCCACGGCGTTGAGGGCGAGGCCGGGCGGCTGCACCTGCTGGCCCATGTGGGGGCCGGCCAGGCCCACGATGTTGAGGGTCTCCATGCTCAGTGAGGGCAGTGGCTGTAAGCCCGGGGGACTCAGGCCAGGAACCTGGATTTGGCCGACCGGGAAGCACGGCACCACGCTGCTCAGTTCCGCCAGGCCGCCAGCAGCGTTGGCCGCGCCGGCCACTTGGGTGGCAGGATCCCCAGGAGCGCCCGTGGTCCTGTGGATGACGCTGACGGCAGGAATGGTCAGCTGCATAGGCCCCGCCTGAAGGGGTACGAAGGTAGAGTAGGTGAGGCCGGCGGGCACCACGTGGATGCCCCCGATGGGGACCATGTTGTAAGGTGTCCTTGCCTGCTGCTGGGAGTGCAGCGGGAGGTGGCTGAACAGATGCGTCTGGGGCGAAGATGGGCCCGCAGCCAGGTGGGGGCCCGTCTGCTGCTTCTGTTCTTGGGGTTCTGGATGAGGGGAGGGCCCAGAGGGCGACCCTGCTGTTGGTAGGGGGTTGTGCTGGGCATGGCACGGTGGTCCCACAGAGGACGTGTCCTCCTGAAAGTCAAGAGAGAACCATCTAGTTAGGGCAGATCTTCCTCAGCTCAGGAGCTAACCTGCGGCTGCCTGCCCCACCGCCCCGGGGAGGCACAGCATATGGGTGCATCGTGCTCTCTCAGAAAATTATAAAGTTGCTGAAATACTATATGCTAATTCCACTAAAAAAACAAAACAAAACAAAACCATGTATGATTCAAACTGCCAACAGGAGCAACAGTTTGTAGTTTGCATACTACTTTGCATGTTTCATTTGAACTTTGGGAATTTTGTCACACTGTAAATTGGAAAGGGATGCTGGCTCTATTCTTAGGCATCTATTGCTATTCCTGGGACCACCAAGCAGCTCGACCCTGTGTCAGAGAGTAATTGTTCACTGAGGTGTGTGTTGGCTGAATCAATGCAATGGGGAAAAACGAAGCAGAGTGCCTGCTAGTTACTGGTGAAATAGAATTATATTAGGACTGAGGCCTTTAGCTGTTTGGTTGTCCACGCCTATGAAACGCTCAGACAGCCATGCCTCCAGGTGCTTGTGTGTGTGAGAGATGGGATCTCAGGACAGAGAAACAGCCCGGGCACGCGTGCCTACTGCCAAGGATGTGACTGACTGCAAGGCCTCCTCTACCTTCACTTGCACCATGAAGCCTGCCTACCACCAGCTCTCCCTTGGCCATATCTGTATACGCAGCTACATTCATCTCTGTGTTCCCTAAACTACATGAAGGTGGGCTAGGCTGCAGAAATCCACATCCTTAAAGATTCTGCATCGTGTCCACAGCAAACCACCAACCTCGGCTGGAGCGGCAGGTTCAACTGCAATGTTTGGTACACAGGAAAGGGCGCTGCTGAGCAGCCGGGGGGAGAGGGGGCAGCTCTCCCCAGAGGCCAGGGGGCGTTTAGAGCCACGGGGCAGAGACCTCCAGCGGGCAAGCTCCTAGGCTGTGCAAGCCACTTGACGGTTCAGGTGCAGTCTGTTTTCTGCACTGGGGGGGGGGGTCACATTAACTCTGCCATTGAAACTGTCTTGCTGACGGGGGCAAAGTGGAAGAGGCTTGGGTGGTTTAGCACCCACTGCACCTCACCAAGAAGAAAGCAACTCGGAGTGAAGTGGGGACAAGTGCAGCTCACCAGTGACATACTCACGGGGCACACACACTGGTCTGCTCTGGGTATGTCTTCTAGAACCAGCCAGTTTCTTCATGAATCTAGAATATAAGACTCCAATGGCCAGGAAACAAGCTCTGACCTTCAATCTAACTGAAAAATAGTCATGCTAATGGATTTGACCAGTTGTTAGGTTCTGCCACAAGTAAGGAGATAAAAAGAAGCAAATGAGAGAACGGACACCAGTCATTTACCTTTCCTGCCCCAGACCCTCTCAGCAGTTCTGCTGCCTCGGGGTAGTCCACGGACATCTGGTGACACGGGGACCTGGATGCAGCCCGGGGTGACCTGCAGGCATCTCCAGGAGTCGCTCCTCCTTGGTTCTCGGCAGCCTGTGGCTTGGCCAGGGCCAGCGAGTCGGGCTTCGTGGAGCAGCTGGAATGCACAGCGCTCAGGACCGTCATCTTGGTGAGCAGGGCCCTCGGCAGCATGTCCATGGGGTCAGCGTGTGCCCCGGGGGAGCAGTCAGGTGTCCGGCTGTCCTCGTCGGCGCTCGCCAGGTCCTGTGGGCCACCTCGGGAGGGCAGATGCTGGGGGCTGGCAGTAACCGACGGCGCGGCCGACAGCACTGACTCGGCCTGGCTGTCTTCGTCATCATCCTCGTTCTCGTTGTCTTCCTCATCGGGGCCATCAGACTCCTCAAGGTCATATCCAGATCGCTCGTAACTGAATCTCTGTTTCTCATCTAAAGAAACAACCGAGAGGGGATGTTAGGGAGTGTTGTGCAGTCTCTTGTTAGGAACCCAGCGGCACTGTAAGGAAGGGGACAAGGGCCCAGCCCATGGGCAGCCCACATGCCAGCAAAGAAGGGGGACATGGAGAAGAGCAGTGAATCTCAGAGGAACTCGGGAGAGCGGGGTGGCCAAGGCAGGCAGGGCAAGAGGGAGGGCCCAGCAGGTGCTTTGAACAGGTCATGTACGATGATGATTGCAGAGGAAGTGCTTCGAAGTGGAGAGGTTCCAGCACTGCTCACGCCTGGGGGGACTACAGGAAGGAGGCAGGCAGAGTTAGCACAGTCTCTGCCCTGCTCTCCCGCACACGACTGCTTCGGTGCTCCCTCTCATGGGACAAATGAGAAGATGCCACCACACAGTCCTACTGGAGTAGAGAGGGTCTGTCTCCACAGGCCCGAGTGGTGTTCTTCAAGTCTGTTTTTCTTGTTTTTATGTTGTGACTCAGTCCTCTTTCACAAGAAGGGGAGAAGTACCTAAAATGTCACTGACATTGGCTTCATAACCTCAATAGACTTAGCAAGGAATATTCAAGCTGGTCCAGGCAGCTGTCTCCAAATTCTCGTAAGCTCAAGGAAAACCTAGTTCAAAAGCCTCACCTACCCCCGATATTATAAAAAAGAGAGAGGCCGATTCCCTTGGAAAACTAACTTAGCAAAGTTAAAGGGGGAGGGGCTGCCAATCTCTCCCTGTGACTGAGAACTGCCAAGGACGACATGAGGCCACGAGTGGTGTGGCTGTCACATATTCTACCTCCACACACAGTCACACCCCCTGCTCTGCAGCTTTACTTCTGAATTCATTACTTGTGGCCAATTACAGTGCAGAAATAAAAGATACAAAATGCCAGGAATAAACAGTTTCTAATTTGTTAGTTTTAGATCAAGTGCTGGCTGTTGCGAAGGCCTGCCCCACTCCCGGCTGCCCGCACGCTGTGACAGAGACGGCCCGTTGGTCACTGCGTCGGTGAGCCCATCAGATGCCACGCTACTGAAGTGTTAGTGCTCAGGTGAAAAAAATGCAACGTAAATGGAGAAACACACTTTCTGAGCTGTCCCACGGCCAACAAATGTTAGAGGAAGTTCTTGAGGCAGAGAGAATGTGTCAGGTCAAAGCCTGGCTCAAGCGCTGGAAATGGGGTACTTCCCCTGAAATAATCAAGTGTACGGGGCAAAAGCAGTAACTATTTTTTTTTGTGGTTTTTTCAATAGCATGTGTTAGTGTTAAAGGTACAGTACTGTCACAAAGGACCAAATTAAGGAGTTGTCAATATTCTATTTATAATAACATGCTAGTCAATGTCATATTATTTGAAAGAGGGCAATTATTTTAAAGTTAACAAGATAAAACAAAATCATAAAATGCTCAATTAATATGAGAGAAGGCATAGAAGAAGAAAACTGAGGCAAGAGAAACATGAGGCAGACAGAAAACACTAGGACCATGGCAGATTTTAGTCAGCTTCATGCAAAATCACATGGAAACAAATAGCCTCCCAAATCAATTCAAAGTCTGAAACTGATAAAAGATTTACTATCTGCTATATATAAGGAGCTGATAAACTCAACAACAAAAACAACACAGTTAAGAAACAGGCAAAAATTTCGAATAATTTTGAAAGAAGAAATACAAATGGCCAACATGTGAGAGAGCACCCGGTGTCACAACCATCAGAAAATAGAGATAAACATCTCAGTGGGGAGCGGTGTGGCACAGCAGGTGAAGCCGCCACTCTGGGTGCCTGTATCCCACATGAGTGCTAGGTTGGAGTACTGGCTTTTCCACTTGCTGCAAACGAATCGTGGGGGCTGCAGCCCATGTGGGAGACCTGGACAGAGCTCTAGACACCACACTGCAGTCTGGACTGGCCCTGGCTGAGTGAGCTGATCAGGAGTGAACTAGCAGACAGCAGGCTTGCATATTCTCTCTCTCCTTTTTCTATGTTACCCTGCCTTTCAAGAGGATGAAAGTAAATATTAAAGAGAAACTGCCAGTGGGGTACCATCTCACTTCAGTTGGAAGGGCAGACCCCTGTCTTTCAGTGTCGGAGGCCCTGAGGCTCCTCAGAACTCTACAGCCAAGAAAAGCAATAGATGCACTCCCAAACAGCCTAGAATTATGAGCCAAATTCTCTCTCTCTCTTTATTTAACACGAAAAAAGAAGAAAATATAAATGCTGCTGAAGGTGTGGAGGAAAGGGAACCCCAATACTCTGCTGCCGGTGACACAACTCGGCTATTATGGAAAACTGTATGCAATTCATTCAAAAACTAAAGACATATCTACCAGAAGACCAAGCTACCCTGCTTCTGGGAATATATGCAAACAAAATACAGTCAGCATAAAAAAGAGATGTGTGGACTTCCTTGTTTAATGCAGCACTGCAGCCAAGAACGGCCGTGACCTCCGTGTTACCAACAGATGAATGAACACAGGAAATGTTGTGTATGTACACAATGGAACATTATGACATGAAAAAAGAACCTATAACAACATGGACAGAACCGGAGATCTCCATGCGAGGTGGAACAAGCCAGACACAGAGAGAGAAACACTGCATTTGCTCTCACACGTGGGAAAAGGACGCCGTACTGTTTAGTAAGCAGATACTGACAGTGACTACTGAGCTGCACCCTCACATGCATGCTCTTCTTCCTCAGTTTATAATCTCCATGCTTTGTGAAATTCACATACCCACCCCTTTTTAAAAAAAAAAATGAGGTGTGTGTGTGTGTTCACATATAAAGTCAGCGTAGCAAAATGCTAAAATTGTTCGAAAAGATTGAAACTGCCAGATTGGATGAAAAAGCAAGTTCCAAATAAAGTGAGTTGTAAAAACTTCATGGGAAATGTAATTAAAGGCAAATTTATTTTGGTGCAAAGCCAGTTTGATATCCATTCACGATAGGGGGTTCTCAAAAAGTTCTTGAATATTGCATATACATATAAAACTACACATGGATTTCCAATTTTTCTATAAAAATAAGATTGACATTTAATTCTATTTCTATTGAATTTTGGGGAGTATCTTTTCATACTGTTTAAAAATGTATTTAAAATATAAACAGATAGATTAGCTAAAAAAAAAAATAGAAGCTTAGAGAAAGCTACCCAGTCATGCAGTCATGTATCATATAACAGCATTTGGTCAAGGACAAACTACATAAATTATGGCAGTCCCCTAAGACTGTACTAGTGACAGCACAGCTGGTTTTATTTGTGTAGATCTATTCTATGGTGTTTGCCCAATAATGAAATTGTCTAACAATACAGTCCACAGGTTGTATTCAAATCAAGTGATGCGTGACTGTACCATAAACCATTGAGACAGGTGCAAGCTTAGCATGCTGAAAACTACAAGGCATTCATTAAGGCAGAGATGAGAAACAGACACCATGTTCACAGCTTGCAAGTTTCAAAATGGCTAAGATATCATTTCTCTCCAACTGACGCAAATATTTCATAGGCATTTGCATCTATTTACACATAATTCTAAAATTCCTACAGACAAGAAAGATCATCTTTTGCATAAATGGCACGAAACACAAATGGACATCTACATATGAAAAAACGAATACCGACACATGCCTCACATCTTACACAAGTGAGAACTCCAAGCAGGGCCAGAGCCCAACCTAAAATGTAAAACTGTAAAACCTCTAACACAGAAGTTTTGGATTAGATAAACCTTTTTGACATATGCTGCCAAAAGCACAATCAATAAGATAAAAATTAATAAATCAGTTTCAATACTATTTTAAAAAGCCACTGTGCAAAGGACATCATAAAACAACAGCAACAAAACAAAACAAAACAAAAGCCAACAAGCCATGTACTGGGGGAAAACTTCTGCAAATCAGATTTCTGACAAAAGGACTGTATCCAGAACACACAAACGCTACAGGAAGGAATAACCCAATTTAGAAAATGGACACACCTTCTGAACACTTCCCTAAAGCAGACACCTGGAAGACAACTAGCACATGAAAAGGAGTTCTAGACCATCCGTCGTTAGAAGGCGACTGCAAATCAGACAGCAACATCGCTACAAATCCTTTAGCAATGAAATGCAAAGGGTGAAACAGGAACACATTCACAAACAACAGCAAAGCGCCTTGGCAAGACCACGTGCTGGCAAGGCTGCAGAGCGACTCCAACACTCACCCACCGCACGTGGCAACCTAAGTGCCAGTAAAGGCACTTTGGGAAAAGTTTAGTTATTTCCAAAACTACACACACAGCCATCATCTGAGCTAGGAATTCAACTCCTAGGCATCAACCTCTAAGGAAATGGAAACTTCCATTCATATAAAACCCATACAGGAAGGCTACAACTGGAAACATCTCAGATGTGTTCCAATGGTTCAGTGGACAACCGGCTACCAACCACCACACTTAGCAGTGAAATAGCATTGACAGCGGATGAAAACAACAATGTGATGTGTTTTCCTATTTTCTTAGCTGGAAAGCCAGCGAGATTCAAGAAGCTACATATTTGGTGTTTGCTTTTTCCACAGTGTCAAATAAAAAGAATCACACAGGAGGGAAGCAGTCACTAGGGACTGTGGGGTTATGTGAGGAGGGAGCTTGTCTACAAACAAGGCATGAGGGGATCTGGGACAGGTGGATCTATGTGTATGCAGTTACGCAGGCAGATGCACAACTCTACGTGCCTGTTGACACTCATCCCATCCACACATCATCAGCAAACAAACCCGGCCAGTGAGTGCAGGCTGAGGCAGGCGACTCCACTGAGTGCAGAGCATCAGAAAACCACACCGAAGATGGTGGGGAAACCTTAGGAGGCTCAAGACAAAGACTGCACATGGTGGACTGTAACTGTAAATTTGCTTCTTTTGGGGACAAGGGTTAAGATTTCCGAAACTAGTTTATTTGTATCCTGGCACTCAGCAAGGATATACACATACAAGTAAGCACAAGGTTGCTCAATGTG